CACTGCCAGCTCACTCCCTACAAGTCATTGCTGTCACTTTTTTGTGTATCCACCTAGGGATTTGCTATGGATTGAATGTTCCTCAAAAGTTCATGTGTTGGAAATGACCCTCATTGTAACAGTGTTAAGAGGGTGGGAAATCCAATTATGGGAATTGAAAGGTGGAGCTTTTAAGAGGTGATTGGATCCTTAGGACTTTGTCCTCCTGAATGGATTAATCCATTGATGGTTTAATGGGAGGTCAAGGGCATGGCTATGATGCCTTTATAAGGAGGTGGGGGGAGAATGTTAACTCTCTCTCTTCATCAGCTCATTCTCACCATGTGACACCTTGGTTGACACGGGACTCTGCAGAATTCCCACCAAGAAGAAAGCCCTCACCAGATGTGTTTCCAGCCTCCAAAACTGTAAGAAATAAATTTTATTTCTTTATAAATTACCTAGTTTCGGGTATTCTGTTATAAGCAACAGAAACAGACTACGACAGGATTTTCTATGCATGTACTGCATAGACGTGCACATCTGAGGGACTGCCACACAGGCACGTGACAAATAAGCCTGGTATGTGTCAGGCCCTGTGTGGTTACTGGGAATATCAGCTACATTCCTTGGCCTCACAGAGCTTTCGTTCTAGTGTTGGGAGATAGACAATCAGTGAATAAATAAATGTATAATATGTTGGGTGTTGATAAGTGCCATAAGAATAATAAAATGGGGTTTGGGGCTAGCAAGTGACAGATGTGTACGTTGGTACTATTTTAGATACGATGACCTGTGGCAGTGGATTTGCGGGTGCTATTTGAGGGGAGACTGGAAGGAAGTGAGGGGTGAGACAGGCAAATAGCTGGAGGAGGATTTTTTGGGCAAAATGAACGGTAAGAGCAAAGGCCCTGGGGTAAGATTGCGCTTTGTGCCTTGGATCAGCAGGTGGGAGGAGGCCAGCGTGGCTGGGGCAGAGAGCACTGGGGGAAGTGACAGGAGACCAGGGCTTTCCATGTCGGCCATGGGAAGGACTTTGATTTTATTCCCATGGAGACAGAAAAGAACCTGGGGGTTTTGAGAGGCATGATCTGACTCACATCCCGCCAAGATCACTGGCTGCCAAGTGAGGAATAGAGCCCAGCGGGGTGAGGTGAAGGCAGGAGGAGGCAGGTTGTGGGCCCCAGGTGACCCCGATGGAGTCTGGCACCAGGGAGGTGGGTTGAATGCTGGAGGAACCACTCCACTGAAAAAGACGGTAATCGGGAACACTCTCAGGGTTGAGCACGACCCACTAGAAGAAAGGCATTGCTATTTGCCAGGAGGGGGAAGGCTGAGAAAGAAGCAGGTTTGGGGTGGGCAGAAAATAGAGTTTGTAAATAACATTGGTAAGCTTGAGGTGCCTAGGAGACATTCAAGTGGAGGTGTGTGGAGAGTTCAGGGAAGAGGTCTGGAGGAGAAGTCTCTATTTGTAATTTATGTCAGCATTTCTTATGGATTATATGTGCATCTCCTCTTCCATATGTGTGTTCTCCTTTGAACTGGTTATGACATCTTAGTGGTTCCTTCATTAATTAATGAGTTAAGTAAAACTTTGGCACTTTTCATTTTTTTCCATCTTCAATTTGTCTTAGTCCATTTTGTGCTTCTATAATAGAATACCACAGACCAGGTAATTTATGAGCTGAAATTTATTGGCTCACGGTTCTGGAGGCTGCAAAGTTCAAGATCAAGGTGCTGGCATCTGGTGAAGACCTTCTCGTTTTGTCATCCCATGGTGGAAAGGCAGAGAGAGGGGCGGGGAGGGAGAGGGAGAGAGAAGAGTGGACTGAACTCTTCCTTTTATAAGGAATCTGCTCCTGTGATAAGGACATGCATGTATTCACGAGAACACAGCCCTCACGGCCTCATCACCTCTAGAAGGTCTTGTCTCTTTATATTGTTACAATGGCAATTAAGTTTCCAACACATGCTTTTGGGGGGACACATTCAAACCAAAGCAATATTTATGTAATTTTACCTTTTAAAAACAGTTATTCTTGAACTTCTTTCAAGTCTCTAGTCCTCACAGCTGGAATATGAACCTGTCAAGATATGACTCACGTATGTCTGGCAGGGGTTCTGTATTATTATTATTATTTTTAAGTCTCAGAGCTTTTTGAAAAGCTGATGAAAGCAGCGAACCCTTTCCTTGGGGAAAATAAACACACAAGACACATACAGTTGCGTGCTTTCTTGGCAGTTCCTTGATTTAAGAACTCCTGGGATAGAGGTCGGGATCAGGATTGCTGTTCGAGATCAGAAGTAGAAAGGGGAATAAGGTGTATTTGGGAAAATGACTTTTTTCTTAACACGTGTTAAGTTCTTGCCATGTGCCAAAATGTATTAACTCATTTAATTGTCACAGAAACCCAAAGAGGCAAGAAACTGTTATTATCCAGGGAACAGGTACACAGAGGGGATATGTCACTTGCCCAAGGTCACACAGCTGGCAAGAGTTTTAAAGTGATTCCTTTGTCCTACAGATATAAAATAAAGGGAATAAAATATCTTGAGAAAAAAAAATCCCTAGGGAGGAAGAGACAACCCCACAACATCAACATTTACCTCATAGAGAGGCTGAGACATCTGCTCACCTGAACCCCTTATGGTTGGGAAAACCCTGGGGGAAGGAAGGGGTGTGACAGGGAAAGGGGGTGGGGGCCCCAAATCAGAGGGGACCTGCGTCTCTCCCCTTCCACTTGGAAGTTTGGAGATCTGCAGGCTCATCTGTGACCTTCCTGTCACCAGGTCATGAGGAATGGCCACGAGAGGTCTAGAATGAGTGAGACCTGCTGCAGCGCAGGGCTCCCATGGCCCCGGAGGGGTGTGGGAGGACTGTCATCTTTTGCACTTGCTCATGAGAGGGAGGAACCAGGGAGGATTCACAACTGGGGTGGGGAGGCTGCAGCAGAGGAGATGGAGGGAATCCCCAAAAGGGGACCGAATGAGGTATTACATCAGCTGGGCAGAGGGGTCCCGCCCAAGGCCCGGCCAGAGGAGACACACCTCAGTGGATGCCAGCAGGGGACTGAGAAAGCTGGGGACCCGGAAGTGGACATCCCCTCCCTCCAGGGACTGCAGTGGCATTTGCATAAACACTTCCCCAGCCTCCACCCCAAGTTAGCAAAATCCCTGTCGGAAGGAGGGAAACAGAGGGGGGCAATTTCAGACGTGACTGTTTAAACCTGATGTGTCTGAGAAATCAGTAACCTAGGAGCCACTAGAATAAATTTCCTGCCCACAACATAGAAAGTAAACTCAGTTATAGAAAAATGATAAAAATTACATTTTATATATTTGAGTTTAGGGTCATCAAATGGGTACCTGCTACCCAAGTTCTGAGCTACCTGCCTTTATTTGTTAATTGGCTCTTTTCTCTCAGCCCTGGCCTTCTCCTTTCATCTAGGGTTGTCCAGAGACCAGGTGGCAATAATGGCATTCATGGACTCTGAGTGATTTGGAACTTGTGAGTTTGCAAAGTGCATTCATAGCTGCGGGCTGTAGTCAGTGGGTCTAGCATATTGCATGCCTGAAGGCAGAGCTAGTATTGCTACCTCCAGTTTACAGAGGAGGAAACCGAGGCCCAGAGAGATTAAATGATGAGGTCATCCAGCAAATTAGAGGGAGTGCAGGACTCAGAGCTAGGCTTTCCAACGCCTGGTCCAACACCTGGGTGGGTCAGGGGCCCAGGCAGATTGCAGAGGTTCTGGGATTTGGGGAAGATTACTTCATACTTGCACATAGAGGTCAGTCCAGACTGTCCAGCTTAGGGGAGCAGGCCCTGTCCTCCCCCAGCAGGAACAGGTCTCAGAAATACTCATGCAGGAGGGAAGCTCAGTGGATGGCTTCCCTGTGAGGAGGAGTTAGTCACTCATCCCAGGGCTGGGATCTGGAGCAGCCCCTTTCCCAGTGGGATCTGAGAATAACATCACTCCAGAATGGGTCCAGTCCTCGCACTTTGCAAAGTCTCTCACCTCCTCTTAGGACCTCCTGACTGCTCTGCAAGGCAGGCCTGCTGGTGGTTACTACTTCCATTTTACAGATAGGAAAATTGAGGCTCAGACAGGGCATGTGGTTTGCCCAAGGTGTTGCTGCAAGGAAATAGAGAGTTGAAAGACATCTCAGCCTTTTCTGGACAGAGAGTGGCTGGTCTTTTAGCTGGGTCTCTTGCACATGTCCTGGAAAGAGAAACTTCGAAAAGAGCTCACGTCTTTCTCTTCATTCATACCGGGAATGTCAGCATCCCTTCCCAATCCAGCAGAATGACCAAAGACACTAAATTTGTTTTTAAAATTCAAAGAAGAAATTTCCTAAATTTCTCTCTTATTCTGGGATGTTCACATCAAAGCCACAGAGACTGTGTTAGACGAGGGCCAACTGCAAGGTTATACAGCAAGCATTCTTGCAGCGTGAGTCAGCACCACCCTTCCGCCATCCCGGATGGAACTCAAGTTGTTCATCTCTATATCAGATCCATTTATGGAGTGCTCAGTAGGTACTCAATAAATGTGTCATACATGAGTACATGAACAGACAGCCTCTCCTTGGCCTCTTCTGTGCCTTGGTGCTCACCAAAGTATGGGCCAGAAGGGTCCTCAGAAACCATCTTGTCCATGCCTCATGTTACAGATGAGGTCCAGAGGGGGCAAGTGACCAGCCGGAGGTCACACAGCCAGTTAGAGGAAGCACAGGTGCAAAAGGACGACTTCCCTGTTCCAGAGCTCATCCTGAGATATCCAGCCTGACCCTTGATTCAGGAGAGCAACTGTGGGCAGGTGAGACGAGGGCCGTCCTTTAGTGTTTGTCCTGTGCTAAGTCCAGTGCAGCCTCCCGTGGCATGCTCAGCGTAGCTTCCTGGCTTGTGGGCCATCTTTTGACTGTGAGATTGATTCCCCACCCCCAGAGGCCCAAGGCACCATCTACTACCTGCCTTCTCCTGGGGAGGAGAGTGGCTTGTTTGGGGAGAGGACGTCCAGTCCCTATGTCGAAGTGGCACAGAAACTGCCCCATTTGGGGTGTGGAGGTGGAAGGAACTGGAGGGCAGGGACGCAGGTCTGCTGGATGACAGGGCCCCAGTGAGGCTGCATGTCCCATGGGTACTGGGGGAGGAGGGTGATCCAGGCAGGGAACCAGGCAGAGGTCAGCTGACCTTGAGCAGGAGGATAATAGCCCATGGAGGGAGCCAGCCTGTGTAGAGCAGTGGGCATCAGCATGGGGCCCTGTCATATGAGAGGTCAGGAGAGAGAAGTGAGTCCTAGGCTTTACCCTGGGCTGTCCCTGCAGCTTTCCAGCCTTCCCCCCAGGGTGTGGGCAGCTGAGGGTGGGTAGCGTGACCAACTTGTCCTGCTTTGTCCAGGACTTTCTGGGTTTAGCATTGAAAGTCCTGTGTGGACTCATGCAAACCTGGATGGTTGGTCACCGTAGGTGGGGAAAAGTGCATGGTGTGGGGGCCAGGACACATGGTCCTAATCCCAGCACTTGCAGCAATCATTTCACATGGCAAAGTCACTTTGCTTCTCAGAGCCCATTTTCTGCATTAGCAAAAAATTCCAGAGCCTCTGTGTTCCATCTGCGTGCACTGAACTTCACTCTGTGACCCCGTTTTGTAAACTGTGAAGTTTTGCACAAACAATCCAAACTGGTGAAAGGAGAGGCACTATGATTGTCACGGAGGGGAGGAGGACATGGGGATGCAGAGAGACCAGACCCCTGTCCCAGGCCCTCCTGTTTTCCAGGCTCCTCCTTGCCCCCCATGCTGTCTCTAAGCTTCCCTCGCACTTTCTACTATAGACTGAGCCTCCAAGATGTGTCCGCACCTCTGGGTCTGGCTGGGATGTTCCCAGACAATGGCACCCTCCTGCCCCCTTGATGACTCAGCCACCACTTACAGCCACATCCAGATTTGAGGGCTGGGCCAAGTCAGCCTCACTCAGCTGCTGCAGAGCGCCAAGGCCACCCATCTTCTCCTGCTTCCGCCACTTGGCTCGCTGATTCTGGAACCAGATCTGTGGTTAGGGAGTAAGGATGGAGGTAAATAAGGGGTTTTCTCCTTCTAGTACTTCTCCCCAAATGCATAGTAACGACACTTCCCAAGGGACTGGCACTTCATGGTTTATAAAGCTCCACACCATCCAGAATTTCTTTGGATTTGGAGGTCAGCCTTCTGAGAGGGGACCAGGGTTGCAACCTTCAGCGCCTACAGGGCAGGGGAATATGCGTGAGTGAGCAGCTGGGTGCCCTATAATCTGGGGGGCGGGGGATTGTGGGGGGTGTGTGGGG